ATAGTTTCTGAGATATGCGAGGTCGATGGGTGGCTTGCTCCGAGCTCAATACTAACATTTAAACGGATGGTATGTTCTCAAAAATACTATTTGCGATTTTGATGAAACTTGACACACATTGCTACTATACTTTACCAAAAATGTGACCAAAATTCAAAGTTGGATCACTCATTAGTTTTTGAAATATGCGAGATTGCTTAATAATTGAACTTGGCCGACATTGGCGATTACGGACCAACGCACTCTGACCTGAAACTAGCCGAGTTTTAGGTTGAGAGCATTTTTAGCCTACGGAATATTTAAACAGGCATCATGGTAATTTCTCAAAAGCGGACTTTGCGATTTTGTTGAAACTTGGCACATATTATAATTATACTTTATCCAAACTGTGACAAAAATTTTGAGAAGGTGCATGCAACAGTTTTCGAGATATGCGAGATTAATGGGTGGCTGGCTCCGCGCTCAATACTAATATTAAAACAGATGGACAGCGGAGTTTGCGAATTTGTTGAAACTTGGCATATATATTGACTTTTTGTCTCTATATATGGCAATTGTAATTTATGGCTAACATTATAGTTCATAATTTCATTATATGTATTTTTTTCTATATATTTTTTCTTGTATATAGAGGGTATGCCATCTAACATTTTTCATTTTCATTTTTTTTTTCAACGGTCAGCCGAGTTTTTTTTTCATTTTTGAATGAAATTAATATAATCATTATTACCTGAATTTCATCATTAACTGAAAGGATTGTACTTTCAAATAAAAAAAGAAATTTGAGAAAATATACATTAGTTTTCCAAAAAAAAAAATATTTGGCGGACCCTATATTATATTAGTTTCTTTGATATATAAATTTTCTGTGTATGGGAGGTGTACTTATAAATCTCGTTCATATTTCTTATATCATCTCTTTGTTAGTTGTATATGATGTAGTTTGTATATAAAGTTACAAAGAGTTGTTTTCTAGTTTTTATTAATTTTTATTGTTCATCAGAATTTTTGTCTTGCATATTTAGTCAAATTTAACAAGGTATACCCATTGTCTTTTTCGTGCGTTTCAAAAAAATATTAATACATTTGATTTGAAAAACATAGAGAAAATAATAAAAATATAATAAAGACAATATTTTATGGTGCATGACAAGTTCGTAAGCCTAATCCTGTCACAAAAATGTTTTGTATCAACATATATCAAATTAATATTTGCTTTGAGAGAAGCCTTGGTCGAGAGTTAATTATCTCATTAGTGCAGAATGCAATGAATAATCATAATTTGCATAATACGCTTTATGCAAGATGCGATCTTACCGACTCTACTCGCTAGTACAATCATTGTCGTTTATTTATTTATTATCTCTATAATATTAAACGTAGTGTATTTATCGTTTTTACAATAATATGAGAAGTGCATCGAAATGAAAATGCTTTTGTTGCTCCTTTGACATTTGCTCTGGCCAAGTACCCGTGGCACGTAATATATACTCCGACTTAGCGTCGAGGACGACATAGAAAATAGTGCAATAGTCTCCAAGGAAAAAGTACGTTGGGTTGCATTTACTAAAGAAAAGAATAAAATGATATTAAGAAATGCTTCCTGTCTTTTTTTGTTAGAGCGATACTTAAGAATGGAACTATGTACACTATACATATACTTCACATATATATACATTGTTAGGGAGATTTTTGTCACAGGTTGTAGAGATTTATGTATGTGTGTTAAGTACAATTTTATGCCAACAGTTACATAATACTGTTCAAAAAAAATATTTTGAATAAAATGAATTTGAATTCGATTTTTCACTTCCATCTCTTTTTTAGTTAGCACAGCAGAAACTAGATAAAATTTAGAACAATTTCATGCTAGCAGTTGCAAACTGCCCGATGAAAATATTTTGAATAAAACGACTTTGTATTAGATTTTTTATTCTTTAGCAATAAATAATAGATTTGGGACATTTTTTTAGTTTTTGTCAAAAAACTCAAAAACTTTGTATAGGGGTAATTTTTTTAGTTAGCACAGCAGAAGCTAAATAAAATTTACTAAAATACCCTGTCAACAATTGCGTACTGTCCGATAGAAATATTTTGAATAAAACGACTTTGAATTCGATCTTTCATTATTCTTTAGCAAGAAAGAGAAAATTTGGGACACTTTTTTGGTTTTTGTCAAATAACTCATAAATATCATATGAAAGCATCCTTTTTCAGTTAGATAGAAAGAAACTGGATAAAATTTACTACAAGTCCATGTGTTTTAAACTGTCCGATAGAAATGTTTTGAATAAAACGTTTTCGAATTCGTTTTTTTTATGACTCCTTGCGTTTAACTAGTCCGAAATGGTCCGATTTATCTTTACCAAAAACAATTTTTTGCCTTAAAAAGTTATGCAAGAAAAAAATTCTTGTCGTTCCCATTAATATTTATTTTCCTATGTAAATATTAAAAGCTGCGTGCGAGCGGTTATCTACATTCATAAATACGCAGTTTTGCACGATGTTTTTCATAGATAAAATATATTATATTTTCACATTATATTAGTTTATGAAATAGATTAGATAGTGCAAATTGATAAAAGTTATAAAAACCCAGTGTGTGCGCATAATCATTGTTTTGTATTCGAATTCTGATATCCTAATCTTTTTTATACAACATGCTAGATTTCACACGATAATTTGATTACTGTTTTTGAAGATATGAATTTTTGATTAAATTTTTTAGGTGAAAACGTGTATAATATTTACATTACACATGTCAGAAAAAAATTAGATGTGATAAAATCACGGGTTTGCTGCAAAAGATGATAATACTTATAGCTTTTATTTTCTCATCTGAACAAAATCTTGGAAAAAATGTATCGTACTTTTTCTAAGACGTGACTTTTACATTTATCCGATGCTGTCGCATCGGCTTTGACTCGATTTCTCTTTAATCCAATCTTTTCCACAAAACCGATACGATTTCGCGATTTTGTGATTTTCAGATATGTCGCATGAAATGGTCAAGCTGTATATTTGATTCAGAAGAAATTGTGAATTATGGTACAGCTTTTCGAAAAAAGTATTTATGTAAGTCATAGCCGTGGAAATAGAGAAATTTATAGGAAAAAAATCATACTTTAAAGTAGAACTTTTCAAGAAAAATATAGGAGGTCATTTAAAGATAAAGGGCCATTTAGAGAGCACAAGCATTTGTTTCTAAAAATGATAAAAATATGTAAAAGACTAAAATTATTTATTTTTATTTCGAGTATGATTCATTTAAGTTCCATATTGCAGCTAAATTTAAACAAATAAATTTCTATTTTTTTCATATATTTTCTAAAGCTAAAGCTCCACTTTAATGGGGCATTCTACATATTAAATAAAAGAAAAATGTTAAAGTTAAAAGCAAATTATTTTTACTGAAAAGAATGATACATGTTACCAATAACATTATTTTATGCTACATACAGAGTTTTGCAAAATATTTTTTTTATATTTTTTCACGATACAATGGTTCCTGAATAAATATTTTTTGGTATTCATTGTTTTTTTGTTCGACGTATTGGCTTCCAAATATTTTCCGAGCAAAATAAACAAATTCTAAAAATGTAACATAACGTAAAATATATACATTTTTAGCAAGATTTATGTGAAGTAAAAGTTGATATACATTTTTGTTCAGTATGTTAAATAATATATATTTAGATTATAATTTTTAATAATTTTATAATTAAAAATAAAAAGGTTAAACTTTCTGCCCCTGGAGGAAAAATTTTGATGTCAAGACAAATAAACAAATTCCAAAAGTGTAACATAACATGAAAAACATACATAATTTTTTTCAATGTTCCTAAATATTTTTGTAAATCAAAATGATCGTAAAAAATAAACAGAATCACTACTAACTACTTAAGCAAGAATTATACAGTAGTAAGAGTTAATATAGAGTTTTCTTCATTATATTAAATAATATATGTTCAGGTTTGATTTTTTTATAATTTCGTAAAACGTTTTTGAAATTAAAAATAAATAGATGGACATTTTGCCCTTGGCTTTTTCTATTTACCCTGCCTTATGAGGTAAAAGGACTTGAGAACAAATTTTGACGTCAATACAAATAAACAAATCAACATAATATATACAATACAGGAAATATATACAATACAGGAAATATATACAATTTTTTTTCTCAATATTCCTAAATATTTTTGTAAAACAAATGATCGTTGATAAATTAAACAAAAATCTCTATCAATACAAGATCTATGTAGAAGTAAGAGTAAATAATATATATTTAGATTATAATTTTTAATAATTTCAAAATTATAAATGAAAAGGTTGAATTTTTTGCCCCTTGGCTGCACTGGAGGACAAATTTTGACGTCAAGATACATAAACAAATCCCAAAAATGTAACATAATATGAAAAATAATGCCTCATAATATTTTTAATATTTCTAAATATTTTTGTAAATAAAATGATCGCAAAAAAATAAACAAAAATCTACCAAAGCAAGATCTATGTTGAAGTAAAACTTAAAATAGGTTTTTGTTCATTATTTTAAATAATATATATTTAGTTTTGATTTTTTTATAATTTCGTAAATTTTTTTTTAAATTTAAAATAAAAAGATGGGCGTTTTTGCACCCTTTTTATTTTTTGACTTTGTATACAAGTACTTTAGTCATAGTCTTGCTGTTCATTTTTACCCTGCCTACGGGGTTAAAAGTGCACACATTTTTGAAAAATATTGGTAATACAGTTAGCTAGAAATTTTACTGAACATAGTCAGATAGTTGTTTGTTTGATATGTGTTATGGGTCATTCTTTTACAAATCGTACGGATTTTTGTAAAAAAAATGTTTTGCAATGTGGTTAGTTAGGTTTTACAACATAATGGCTGGAAGTCAAATTGCCTACCTATGTGTTACCGTTATAATTTTTATCCAAATTAGTATTTTATCTATGCAATCTAAACTTTAATTTACTAAATATTATTTTATTTTCAGATGGCTCATGGTCGTTCAAAAAGAACGAATGGTGACTCTTCGTCCGAAGATGAACTGCCGCCGCCCCCAGACGGAGGTTGGGGCTGGGTTGTCGTTTTTGCATCGTTTATGATACATATAGTCGGTCAGTAACACTTATTTTGTGATAGTAAAAAATAATACTGCCTGTCTAAAATGACGCACCTGCACACTTCTGTATATTGATAGAGAAATAAGTAATTTAAGATTCTATTACTATTTACCCCTGTTGCAAAAACAGTTTACCAGTACGAACTGATTGACTAGAGACAATTGATCTGCAATTATTAGTAAACTAACGCCAATTTATTTCAATGGAATGCATTTACCATTTACATCCAGATAGACCTTAAATAGGTTCCGAACGCAATCCAATTACTCTCTAAATACAACTGGAACAAATGAACGGAAGCTTTTGTTGAGCGTACGCGAGTTTTCCGCGTTATAAAGCAAATTTTTCTCTTTGTGAAAAAGCTGTAGAGCACGCAATAAATCCACGCAAATAGAGAGGTATAGTGGAAATGTTAGGACCTCGATTAACACAACAACGTCGGAACTTTGCTATTTTATGGGAACAATTGTCTACTGGGTTCTCTTCTTTTTCACTTAAGAGTTCGAAGTGCTTACGGACAACTATATCGTTGTATCATAAAATGCCCCTCAGTAATTTTATTTACAGCTTTGAACATCTGAGCAATAAAAATAAAGAGATGTGGGTAATGAATTTAATGGTTTAATTGTTTGTGCTGGTATTGTGAATTTTATGGTGGATACTTAATTATTTTCTAAGCTAATTTAATTTTATTAATTACTTTCCTTATGCATATATTAATAATTAAATGAAATTGGAAATAAAGCTTACCATCGGTTTCAATAATAAATCAAGGACTAGTTTTTTGTTTCAAATCATTTATATATATATATATATATATATATATATATATATATACTAGCTATCCCGCTAGTTCAAATTTTAAATAGCTTAAAAGCTCAAATTTAAGCTTTTTTATAAGTTCAAAAAAATCTTAATTGAAATTCAGTCAAAAATATTTATTGAAAGAAGGATGAATAATTACTGGATTTCTATAATGACTAGCTAATGAATAACGTTTTGTGGTAGGAGGGTAAAAATTTAGGGCTGTATATAGCTTAAGGGTGACTTTATCTTAACCACGACTTTCACGACTTCTAATTATATAAAATTATGTTCAAAGTGTTTGTTGTTTCATATACTAATATATAATAACTTGAAATTTGAAATAGATTTTATACAAAAGATATAAAATGAAATACTAAAATAACTTCTATAGTTTACTACAAAGTTGTAGTAATCTCATATTTTATAGACTTATTACATATTATATTAAATATAATATAAATTGGACAAATTATAGTGGATGATTGGATACACTCTTTTATATGAATTGTTTTACAAATTAGTCATTTACATATTTTACAAAAATTGATATTCTAATTTTACAGTTATCAAAAAAGTAGTATATATTTCTGTAATAATCTGTTTAGGAATCGAAAGTATCTATTTGATTTAAATAAATCTGCTGGTAAATTTAAGTATGTGTGCTTTTTAATACTTGTTTGGCCAATATTCGTGATCACAAATTTTTTGACCATTAATTGTATTGTGTATCGAATATTTTTTCAAATTATTTAGAATATTTTATTACATAGATTTCAGTTTTGCTGCGTTTAAAATGATTTTATTATGTTTTCATAAGTTTCTTAAGAAACGTTACCTTATGAAAAGTTTTAAATTTTTAAGAATTTCTTTTTCATAAAATATTACATCTAAGTTAAATTTATGATCTTTAGAAATTTTCCAGCTGTTATAAGCCTATATGAACTTTTAAAGCTTTATATAAATCCACATCAAAGTTCGGAAAATTGGTTTAGTATGTCTGAGAAAGATTACGAATATTATTTTATGTATTTTTAACCGTTGATGCTTTCGGACTTTTTTAAAACTAGATAAGATAATTTAATCAGTAAAATATTAAAAAACATCTACGCCATTTTTATTTACATGCCATTAGATACAATGATGAATAAATATTATTGGATTATTATGTACTAATAAATCAAATGAGTGACAGTTATTTATTTGTTGTTATTTGCTATCAATAGCATTCGACCAATATGTATTGACGATAAGTAAATATAGATCATAATATATAATAGCTATTAAAACATCAATAAACTTTGATACCGCACAAATTATATACCATTAAATTATATATCAGCAGATGATTTAATTTTAATCACATGCACCAGTTTATACAATTTATTTGATTTTATGGTACTCATGAAGCTTTATCTTTGTAATAAAAGCATAAAATTTTATTGTATAAATATTTAACTTATAAATGCATAATTTGAAATATAATGTATGGTAGAATTTAGTTATATACATTATCTAAATTTACGCAAATCATTATAAGAACTTTCATATAGTCTATTTTGTTTGCTGCAAAAATTTTTTTCTGGCTTTTTTGAGTTGGCAATAATTATATTACATAAAACTGCGATTTTATTTTAACAAATTAAATGCATTATTGGTCCATTTTATATGTTAAATAGGTATATATATTTTTTAATTAAGATCAAGTTGGAAGATTATCTCACAATAATTAATAAAATATTGTTGAAGTTCTATGTACTTCTTAATGATCTTGCTTTTACTATTGCATTTTCATGTCCATCACATGTGTCAGTAAATATATATGAAATTTAACTACAAATTTGCACATAAACTTAAATCAAAACTTAAACCATTGTTAAATTACCTTAAGTTATTTATTTAATTAATTATAATTTTATGATAGGGGTCTGAAATATGTTCGTAAGTTCGCATATAGTTTTACATGAGAAAGCAAACTTTTAACTGCACCAAACTTTCACGGTCTCGTTAAACAATTTATATGCTTCAGTTGTTCAAAATTGATGTTGAAGTACTTGTGCAAGTTAAATATAGAAAAATATAAAAAAACTCAAACAGAAAAATGAAAATATTTCACTTAGATTAGTTCCGAATATTTTTTAAATAATTTTGTTTTTCTCTTTTCAGCGGACGGAATCACATATTCTTTCGGTATTTTCTACGACAAATTTCTGGAAGTATTCAAAGAAGGCAATGCAAAAACAGCATGGATAGCTTCAATATTAGTAGGAGTAACTTTAGGTTCCGGACCAATTTCAAGTGCTTTTGTCAACCGTTACGGTTGCAGAAATGTTACCATGGCTGGTGCTCTACTCGGAGGATTCTGCCTAGTTATTAGTGTTTTTGCCCAAAATGTGATGACATTATTGATAACCATCGGTCTGGGCACAGGAATGGGGTTTGGATTGATATATCTTCCAGCCATTGTCAGTGTTACAATGTACTTTGAAAAATATCGGTCTTTGGCGACAGGTATTGCAGTATGTGGGTCCGGTTTTGGTACCGTGGTATTCGCACCTTTAACCGAAATTTTTATACAAGAATACGGTTGGCGAGGAGCCATGCTTTTAATGGGTGGTATAGTTTTTCATTGTATATTTTTTGGTGCATTGTTTAGGCCTTTGGAGTATCCCAAACAACCACGGTCTGTAGAAGCACCTCCTTTGAAAAAGAAATTTGAGATTCCGCGATCTAATAGTGTAGGACACTCTATGGAAAAAAGTAAGACGGAAACAATGCGACTAGCGCAAAGTCAGCCTTCGTTAGGATCCTTGCATAGTAAAAAATCTTCCACATCAGCGTTTCAACGAAAGGATGTTTTTTACCAAGGAAGTTTGATAAAACTAGGTGAGCGTCAAAGCAAGCAAGGTATCCCTGAAGCAATGAAGCTCTTGGATAAACGAGGATCTTTAGTTCGTGAAAATTTACGAAAACCATCAATCATCAGTAGACAAATGATGCGGCCTGAAGTCGAACGTCGGAAGTGTTGTCCAGACGTCGACCTGGACACGTTCAAAGAAATGATGGACTATACTCTCTTCACAGATCCCGTGTTCATAATATTTCTTATATCCAATTTTGCGACCAGTATAGGTTTCAACGTGCCCTATGTCTACATCGTGTCTCAGGCTAAAATCGTCGGCTTGACTGGAGATCAGGGCAGCTATCTGCTGAGCGTGATCGGAATTGCTAACACTGTCGGCAGAATTGTTCTGGGTTATCTCTCAGATAAAACGTGGGTCAACAGATTACTCGTTTACAATATCTGCTTGACCATTAGCGGAATTGGTGAGTGAATATAATGTTATCAGTCATTGTACATTCAGTTGAATATTTTATAAAAAATAATTATGAGAATTTGCTGGGTAATTGATATTTCATTTGCGTTGTGCTCGTTTTGATGGCCTTGATCATTTTAGAGCATGCTTTGGTAAAATCTATAGATAGGGAAAAATTTAGTCAGAATCATGTACTTAATTTATTAACTTTTTCTTGATAATATCTTAAGGGGGCATCCATTAATCACGTGAGATTTTTGCGGGGACAAAAAATCACGAAATATCACGTGGTGGAGGGGTATAGTAAGATATCACGGGTATTTATTTTCCATCTAAATTTTTTTTAAAAAAATCCAAACATTTTCAAAAAAAATCAAAAATCTTACAATTTTTCTCGTAACTAAAAATACACGCGATTTTTAGTGGCAATATCACCACATATCACTAAGGGGGAGGAGGGGTCCAAAAATCCTTAAAAAATCGATCACGTGATTAATGGAGCATATGAAATACTAAATTATGACACAAATATCTTACAATGGCAATTACTGAATATTGACAGTAATGGTCGTATGACCTCGCCTTGGAGAACCTTAAATTTATTTCCAATTTTACATTACTGTAATTATTTTAGGCGTTAAGATTTTGAATTTATTGCTGTCCGATTTTGGGCAGTCGATTAACAATAAATTATTCGCATATTGAAATATACAGATGTCATTCAGATTCATAATTGGTATTAAAAATGTTGGTCGCACTAATAACTAGCTAATTGGCGGTAATTCCAATTTATTGCTTTGTAAAATTTTCATAAAAAAGCTGATTCATGTACATCTAATTTCATTTAAGCTTGCTAAGGCAAGATTTTCAAAATATAGAGAATTTCTAAAGATTCTCTATATTGGAGCTAACAAATTTGGCTGAAAATGGAGACTACTGATCACGTGAGACTTAAAAGAAGGGGGGGGGAAGGAGTTTGACAGAAAATCACAAAATATTACCAGAAAAAAAGGCTGGTAGGATACTAAGTGTAATTATTTCTTACCTGAATTTTAAAAAAATGCAAATTTTTCAAAAAAAAAAACAATTTAACATTGTTTCTAGGTACTCATAACACATTGCTACGTAAGGGTGGAGGGTAATTTTAATTATCACCATATATTACCAAAGGGCCTTAAAAATCCTTAAAAGTCGATCACGTGATCAATGGACGCCACCTTATATCGTATCATAATCTTTTTATTGAAAATTACATACAGATCGTATGTAATAATACGATACAAAATTATAGTAGCGCACTTTTTTTATATTATTTTATCAACATATTAATTTAATGATAAATTTTATATTCGACGTATTTTTTTTCAATTCATTATTGTAACAAAAATGGTTTACTTTAACATGTTATGGAATTTAGAACTCTTGTAGAATATTTAGAAATATAAATATAGAATAATATATAGAAATTTAAGTAACGCCGTTTTGTAGATAATTTCATTTAGATGTTATCCCTTTTTAGCCAAAACTTTAATTGTACCTAAGTTACCACTCAAAAAACACTATTTTTTATGTCGCACATATATGACTGACATGGATCTATATTAATACTTTTTAATACTCATGAGTGGCATCGTGTTAATATTACCGCATTCAATATTATATCGAAACCGTAAAATCTCAATAAACAAAATTATCTGTTAAGTTTGTTAATGTATTCATATGTTTTTTCCTATAATTTTTTCATATAATATATTACGCACATTTTGCCCTTGGATTTAACTTTGTAAGGTGAGGCCATGATTTTGCGTCACATTGACCCCTGAATTTTAATACGCTATATATGTATATAAATATATATATATATATATATATAATATATATATATATATATATATATATATATATGACTGACTATATATATATATATATATATATATATATATGTGTAGGAAACAGTTTAGCGGTTATTTGACCTCAAAACGTATAAAAAATGTTTTTATCGCGTTTTTTATTAATACTCATACAAGGTTTTTTTACAGAATTAATACATACATTATTCTTGGAAAATATTTAAAAAAACAGATTTCAATATATAAATTTGGACAAGTGGTACTTACACTTGACAAGAAATACTACATACAATACTTTTTTTGCCTAAATTCATATATTATATAGATCATAACAGATACTGGTACCTATTTTAAAGAGTCTTACTTAATAATTAATGTTAATAGCTAAATTCTCTTAATTAATATTTGACTTTTGACAAAGTTAAGAGGATAAGATCATGTTTACTAATCATCTCATGCTCTTAATAAATGCACGCAATACTCCCACATTATAAATAAGCTATATTAATAAACTCATTAATAGAAACGACTATTTAGTGATACAAATTGGGCATAAAAATAATACTAAAAATAAATATATAGGGGTTGTGATCTTTTTACGAATATTTTGTTTTATTATTAACTCCTCTAAGAATAAGCTTATGTTTTTTCACCAGAAAACCCAATTTGCTAATTTTGTTTTTGCAATGTTTCAAATGACTCTGAATCGTTTGAGACCTAATACTAATAAGTGAATTGAATACTAATTCACATTTCAGTACTTCATTAAAAAGTGTTTTTTTTATAATCTGTAGAAAATATAATTATTTCCTAAATTTTATTTATATTTCAGGAACTGCTCTAGTAACAGAATTATGTTTCGATTTTGTAACAATGGCAATTTATGCCTCAGTTTTTGGATTTACGATAGGAGCCTATGTTGGCCTAACTTCTGTGATTCTTGTTGATCTTCTTGGTTTGGATAAATTGACGAACGCCTTTGGATTATTGTTGCTCTTCCAAGGGGTTGCTAGTTTAATTGGACCCCCTATAATTGGTAACTTATTAATATTCTCATTTTATTCGACTTATTATTGAATCCATACTAACATCTATTATTTACAATTAATTTTTAATTACTTGAACTAATTTTAATTCATATTTTCATTATTTGCAATTAAGAAATACATGCAACCCTAAGTTTTCACCTCCCAACCGATTAACACCTGAGTCAATTTATTCAGATTTTTATTGTAATTTTAATTAATTTTTTTCTGTCTATTTCTATTGAATTTTTTATCTAATTATATATTACAAATTTTAGGTTTTATCTACGACTTAACGGAATCCTACAAATACGGTTTTCTCCTAGCCGGCATGTGTATTGCAGCCAGTGGCGCCGTTCTATTCCTAATACCCCCCCTGCAAAAAATGAAAGAACGAAAAGAAAAAAAGCTCCATGCTTTAGAAATTGCTGGGCTTTAATAAATTTGTGATTATCTTCAAAGAGTACAGGGAGATTTTTACAAACTAGAAAAGCATAGTGTTATGTGATGAAATATTTAATTCCAGATAGACAATCAAGTGATGAAAAAAATTTATATTTATATATATTTTTAGAGAGTTTAATATTCGTCCAAATGAGGCAAGACAGTTGAATATTTTAGGCTAAGGATATTTTTAATAATATTTGTTTTTTATATTATATTTGTTATAATGCTCAAGTTTATTTAAAGGCGTATTTACATAGCATTTTTTAATGTAACTTATTTTGATGACTTATGTATGGGGATTAAATATATATATATATATATATATATATATATATATATAAAAGATGATAAAATGTACAAAAATACTACTTTATTTAAATTTTGTTTTTATTTTTGATAATACATGATATATCAAGCATATATCAAGATAGAGACTAAGAAAAGGCTAAAATTCATAAAGTTTAAAATATTAATTTATTAAGAAAAATTTAATTATTAAATTAAGATTTCTTACTGAATTAAGAAAAATGAGCAAAATTACTACGACCATAAACAAAAAAATATTTTCAAATTAATGGAAACTTAAATTATAAAAATACAACCAACGTTATTTGATGAGAATAAATATACATAAGAATTATAAATATCATGACTTAATTTTATAGTATTTATGTAATTTGAATAATTCGTAAATACTAATTTAAAGTAGTTATTTGAATTGTTTTGCCATTTTTATTAATTTCGAAAAATCGCAATAAATATTATATTTTGAGGTAGGTAAGTTTCATATAAACCAAGTTTTCTATTACATTTCTATTATATTACATATTTATTGTAAATATTCAATATTCGTCAAAATTTCAATATGACCATTAAATATTGACTGTTGTATTATATATTTTCATATCACATCTATTTTAATATCTTAAAATGTGTTTGGTAAATGTGTTTCATGCATGTGATTACACGTAAGTTATATGTATGTATAATAATGACCAAAAATTATAACTTAGTCAATTAGTTCTATACAAAAACTATATTCTTGATACAATATATTATAAATATTATTATTATGTTAAAAAACATAAGTGCATTTTATAAAACACCCTAAAAATCGACTGATCAGTAATAAATCATGTGAATATATATTAACTAAGCTTTTTCTTCCTTGCACGATTGCACTCTTAGTCCTAAACGTTTTTTATAATTGTGCAAAGCCACTTGTGCAGATACAACGTCCAATGAAGCCATACCTGGAAATAAAAATAATTACATAAATAGTAATGATGATAATAAATATTTTATCATTACCCATGTTGTGGTAAACGGTGATTCCTTCAGTAGGTAAAGGTTTTTTTTCCAACATCAATTCGCCGATTTCACCCTTAACTTCACAACCAATATCTGCAAGACCAGCCAGTTCGACTTTGGCTCCTTCAGAGGAATCACAATATACTTGGGCGATTTTGTAAATTGATTCTGAAAGTTCAGAATGGGCATTTTCACCAGCTCCTATGGCTGAAATAAAAAAACTTGGATAAATAATTCATACTGGCAAATTTTGATCGATCTTATAGCTCAGACAATTAATTGGTTAAAGAGTTTTATACTAGAAAAATGGAATAAAAAATTTATACTTTTACAATATACTTGGGTAATTTTATAAATTGATTCTGAAAGTTCAGAGTGAGCATTTTCACCAGCTCCTATGGCTGAAATAAAATTACTTGGGTAAATAATTTATACTGGCAAATTTTGATGGATCTTATAAATAGATTCTGAATGCTCAGACTAGCTCAGACAATTAATTGGTTGGGTAAAAAATTTTATACTAGAAAATTTAGATTTCTCATAAATAAATTCTGAAACCTCAGGATGTGCATTTTACATGGCTAATGGTTGAAATAAAATTGTTTAAAAAAATTATACTAGCAATTCTGAAAGTTTAGAATGAGCGTTTTCACTAGCTCATATGGCTGGAATTAATAGAATTGGTTTAAGAATTAATTCAGATTATTTTGTAAACAAATTCTTAAAGCTTAGAAAATTATTTGATTGAAAAATTTTATACTAGACAAACCTAATTATTATAATAATTATTATGAGCTAATGACCAGCTCCTGTAGCTTACATAAAATCAATGGTTATTCCAACAATTTCAGATTTTTCTTATAAATTGAGAATGAATTTTCACGAGCAAATTCAAATGTTACTTATAAAAGCTCAGATTTTATATTTTCATTAGCTTTTTATTAATAGATTCCGAAAGATCAGAATGTGCATTTTTATCAGCTCCAATAGCTGAAATAATATTAATTGTTGAAACAATTTATACTAGCAATTTCAGTTGCTGAAATAAAATTGTTATACCAGAAAATTCAGATTTTTCTTATAAATCGATTCCAAAAGTTCAGAATGTAAATTTTCATAAGTTCCTATCGCTGAAATGAAATTAATTAGTTAAAGAATTTACACTATGAAATTCAGATCTTTTTTATAAATAGATTATGAAAGATCAGAATGAGCATTTTCATTAAAATTAATCAGTTAAAAAATTTACACTAAAAAATTCAGATCTTTCTTATAACTAGATTCGTTAAGCTTAAAAACTTGATAGGTTAAAGAATTTTATACTAAGAAAATTAGATTTTTGTTATAAACAGGTTCCCAAAACTCAAAAAATAAAGTGATTAAGGAATTTTATACTAGCAAAATCGATTCTTTGCTATAAATAGATTTTTAGAAGCCAGAATGAGAATTTTCACCAGATCATGTGTCTGAAATAAAATTAATTTTTATACCAGTAAATTTAAATCTTATAAATAAACTGTGAAAGCTCAGAATGCATTTTTCCATCAGCTCCTAATAAAATTTAATGGTTAAATAATTTATACTAAAAAATTCAGAACTTTTTTATAAATTGATTATGAAGGATCAGAATGAGCTTTTTGAAATAAAATTAATTGTTATACCAGGAAATTCAGATCTTTCTTATAAATAGACTGTGAAAGCTCAGAATGAGCATTTTCGCCTCCTATTGATAAAATAAAATTGAATGGCTAAATAATTAATACTAGCAAATTCAGTTTTTTAGCATTTTGACCAAAACTTCTCCTGTACCTGAATTTAACTTAATTGTTATACCAAGAAATTCAGATCATTCTGATAAATAGATTTTGAAAGCTCAGAATATGCATTTTCTCCAGTTCCTATGGCTGAAATAAAATTAATTGTGAATTTATACTAGCAATTTCAAATCTTGCTCATAAAATATTCTGAAACTTTAGGTTGAAGATTTTGAACGAAAATGTTAAAATCGATAATAAAAGATCTGACTTCATTTTTGTAAATTAAATTAAAAACGTTATGAACCAGCAAAAGCAACGTTGTTAAATTTTTATCAAAATTTTGGATATTATGATATTAAAAAGGTATGAATCACTATACATATAAATTTGCCTTATACGTTTTCGAACCAAAATATTTTAAAAATTTGCCACTTTAACAGCTTCATAAAACTTCTAATCATAATTTGTTTTTTATATTATATTCTAATAAAATTTACCATTAATATGCACATTAGGTTTAACCCATTCAAGTTCCACAATGGGTGTCTTGGCATAAGTAGATGTTACTATAACATCAGCGTCTCTAACAGCTTTTTCGTTGTCTCTGAAGAAAGTTATATTGGCATCTGGTAGTTCTTTAGCAAGATACTTGCAAACAGGAGCTGCTCTGTGAGACCTGTTCCACAACCTTATCTAAAATAAACAAATTTGTTAGGAAATTTTTAGCCGAATGACCAGAAAATTATAATAGTATAATAGATATCTGTTACGTTTTTATACGCTCACTTCTTTGAAGTTGAAAGCTTTTTGCAGAGCTACAGCGTGTGCTTGGCCCTGAACACCAGGTCCTAAAACAGCCAAAATATTGAATTCTACATTCTTTTTTTTGCATAAATTTTTTGTGGCCACTGTAGATGCACATGCTGTACGTCTAGCCGTTAGTAGATTGCCACCCATCATCTGCAGAAAATCCAGTATATAATACATACTTAAGGGGCACAACTAGTGTAACCGCCTAAAAAAAGGTGATTTTTGGGAATTTATATTAAAAAAACTACTTCACCAACCATTTCAAAATTTTAGGAATATATTTATATATGTTTTAAGAATATGTAGTAAAATTGCAGAAGGAAAAAATGAAATATTTTTTAAGTTATCGTAGATCTCCAACGGCGCGACAAAAAACAGGCCCTTAACGTCGAATTTTACCCAAAATTTTGGTCGTTTTTCGACTGCCAAAATTCGATTTTTGATCCGATCAAAAAATCGATTGTTCATTTTACGGAGAACTATATAAAGAACATGTAAAAAAAATTGATAGTGATCAGATCATCCGTTTTTGAGTAATCACTGCAGCAAATTCGAAAAATGCTGTTTCGAGAAAAACGCGTTTAAAGATAAAATGATCGTTGAACTATATACTATACATATATTTTTCAAATGGCTGTAAATCAAAAACTATTTGAGATATCGATTTGAAATTTTAATATGTTCCTTTTAAAGGTGTAATCTACCGAAGAAACAAAAATCGATTTTTTCAAAATTTCACGCTAGTTGTGCCCCTTAATTTGAAATAGATTTTTACTACTTTAGTTTACTAAACATGATTCCATTATCTTTTCTACTTACACATTCCAATATCCCAGTTTCCTCGTTGAAAACAAAAACATTCCCAATAATGTTTGGTAAAGGTGGATCACGGGTTGCATTTGTAGAAAACGATGTTACAAGTTTGCATGCCATTGTATTGTATTTTTGGCCTTCAAATTCCATATTTTTTACAAATCCTGGCATCGCAAACAACAGACCGAATTGTGGAGCTTTTTGGGCGATTGCTCTCGGAGGCTGATGGGTCATTGGTTTGGATTCATCTAATAGATAATAATAATTAATAAAATAAATTTTTGGGTAGATCAATGTCTGAATCAATTTTAAGTATTTTTGTAATATTGAGATTTTAAACACGTGGGTTAGTAACCTTCTTTATTAGAAGTTGCAATCATGGCTTGCTCAACAGCGCATATAACATCATTCCATGGAAGCAGACTTTCCATGTCTTTTTCAGGAATAACGACCATACCATCTGTGGATACCATCCTAAAAAATAATAGTATTATCATAATATAATATGCATAAACCAGAAGCTTAGTTTTTAGTATTTAACAACCTCTTGGCGGAAGTGCTTTAAAGAATTTATTTGGGAGCCTCTAAAATAGAAGTAAATATTTCTCATAAGTTTTAAAAAATCATAAAATTAAATGAAATATTTAGTTATCATATTTATCTATCTGTCAATTTTTTTTCAAAAATTTTACAAGCAGTTCAAATCAATTATAGACATTTTTGCTTCTTTTTTAACGCAATTGTTAAATGATTTATATCTGATAATTTATATTTTGCTTTTATTTTTGGATTTTTGTTTGCGCCTCTTGGAAGTTCTCGCGGTTCGGGAAACCCCTACAATTGATATGACAAATACGATGGAGAAAACGCCCCTGATTTAAATATGATTTAAGTAAATTTAGTTTAAATCAGTGATATAATAATCAAATTCATTAAACATGCTATTGCATATTTGAATTAATTAAATTAACAGCTTATTTAATATATTAACGGCTTAACAGCTTAAGCTAGTAAAGGATTATTTAATAAAACTCAATGCCTAACCAATTATTTAAGAAATGAACCTACTTTAGAGGCTTAAAAAATCGATTTTTTTATTACAAAAATGTCTTCCAAAACTAATCAACAATATATCTAAAAAATTTCAGAAACAAAATTCATTGTATTCAGGATTAAATTGTATTCCAGTTGAACCTAAAAAAACTCAAAAAAAGTTATAATTAATCCACTTTTCAATCAACCTAAAGTGAAATGTATATAAAAAAACATGTTTTTTTTTTCAAGTTGCGAAAAATTGGTGAGTTTCTAATTTTTTTTTGGATTTTTTAGGTTCAATACTAATGAAAATATATATTTGTTTTGATTTTTTTGTTTCGGATGAAAATTGTGGCCTGCATCTTTCTCGCCAAATGACAACTGCACGCTCGTGGCGCATCGGCAAAATGCTTATACCCGGCATATTATGTCATATATTTTAATAAAAAAAATTGAGGAGAATGTTGAAATATATAACAATAAAACCTGAAGGTTTTGTTTCAATTAAATATTTATTTATTTCCCTAAAAAATTCTCAAAAAAAGCGATTTTTGAAGCCACTAAAGCAGGCTTTCCCCTTAATAAGACTCAACGGCCTAACGGCTTATCTAATAAAACTTAACGGCTAACGGATTATTTATTAAGACTCAACGGCATAACGGCTTAAGCTAGTAACGGCTTATTTAATAAAACTCCACGCTTAACGGATTATTTAATAAGACTCAACGGCATAATGGCTTAAGCTAGTAACGGCTTATTTAATAAAACTCAACGTCTAACAGATTATTTAATAAAACTCAAAGCTAGAAACGGCTTATTTAATAAAACTCAACGCCTAACAAATTATTTTATAAAACTCAAAGTTAGTAACGGCTTAAGTTAGTAACGGCTTAAGCCAGAAACGGCTTAATTGATTAAACTCAACGCCTAACAGATTACTTAATATGACTTAATGGCATAACGGCTTAAGCTAGTAACGGCTCATTTAATAAAACAAAATTTAAAAAGATTTAACGGCAACTCGAAGTATATTCAAATATGGATTCATTTATAACAACAAATATGAAAAATTTTAATTAAATATTTTGAAAATTATGTATGTGTACAGTATGTTTCCAAAGTTTATTTTTGAATTATTTTTGGTAAAAATCAATATAAATATCAAATTTATTGCAATTTCAGCTGTGTTTACTTTTTTTATTTATCCATTACACACATAAAATTCGATTATATTTACTCACTTGCTGTGGCTTCTTTCACCGAATTCTCTCTTCGTCGAAAGTAAATATCTCAGAGTCTGCTGATGTATCGGCACAGATTTTAACAACTGTTTACATTGTACAAAAATGTCATTCTTACAAATACTAATATAATTCAATACTTTCATATTTCATAAAGTCGAGTACGATATTCAGTTGAAAGCCAGTCTAGTGAAAGTTATTAATGTCAATCGTCATTTTTTTGCATAAACCATTTGCGGTATTTTTTTTACCGCATTTGTTTTTGTAAATGAATTATAAATGTTGAATAATATATGCACGGTTGCGTATAGTCAGCTGGTTTTCAAGTTCATGAAGTAAAATTTGAATTATGTTGTTGTTATTGAAAAGGTGACCTTTTGTTTCCGTAATTATAACCTTAATAAATTTGAAAATAAACAATTAAGTTTTCTTCAAATTAGTACAGGTATTAGCACGATTGTAGTCTTATGTAATTTGTAGTTAGTTTAAGAAAGTAAATGTATTGATCTTACTCGAAAATTTTGTGAGTATTATGGCGAAAACTTCCGAAAATTCTTTTGTTGTGGAATATATACAGAAAAATTTTAAAATAGATAAAAATAGGACTTTGAACAAATAAACTTCCACGTGTTTAAATATTTTTTACTTCGTTGGCGATATATTTTTCATAAAGTTGGTAATCGGGTTCTTTTCAATGTTATTCGCCGAACTTCACTTCTATTAGCTTTTAACATGGATGACATTTGCAGTCATATTTAAGTAATTATGAGACAATTTTATAGTTTGAAATATTCATATTAAATGTCGTTGATTTAGCGTTTATAGATAACATATTGTGCCTAGTGTGATTTATGTCGCAAGGCATTTCACAATTTAAGGAATCTCTTAGATTAATATGAGTGAAAAATCATTCAATCAAGATGAGTTGGACGAATCTGAATTAGACCCTAGAATTCAGGTAGGAAAATTAAATATTGAATGAAAAAACATTATTCTAACATTGTATCATTATTTTTCAGATCGAGCTTGAAAAATTAAACACCGCAACTGATGAAATTAATAAATTAGAAATAGAACTTGATGTAAGTATATTTTTTATTAATTTATTTTTATTATTTAATAATTCTCATTTATTGTAGGAATCTAATACGACTTTTCGTATGTTGCTAAATGAATCAACAAGAAGATTGCAAGCCTTATCACGAAAGCTTGGAAGTTGTGTTGACCGCTCAAGACCTTATTGGGACGCAGTAGAAAAGGCTAAAGTTGCTCGAGTAGAATGTCAGAGAGCAGCAGTGGCTTATCAAAGGGCAAATGAGATTCATGCCGCAGCTAAAGAAACTGTGGCTCTGGCTGAACAGAGGTAATAATAGTCAATAATATTTGTAAGTTGAACTCACACGAGCTCAGTGCTTGCTGTTACGAACTCATTTATTTAAATTTGTAGATTCTTAAGCCAAGATTGGAAGTTTGATAGCGCTTGGCAAGAAATGTTGAATCATGCAACTCTTAAAGTAACAGAAGCTGAACTTAAAAAAGCAGAGAGCGGTCATGAACATCGATTGCGTGCTGCTAAATTTAGAGATGCAGAAAGCATTGTGCAGCACTATGAAGAAGTACAAAGACGAAATATTATAAAAAGCAGACCCTACTTTGAAGCAAGTATTCTAAATAATTAGTAGATTTAAGAAATATTTTAGTTGAATTTGTATCAATCAGATGCTATTCTGCTTATAGTAAAATTAATATTTGTTGCTGAATAATCATGTAAATTATATTTGTAAATATTTAGGAAAAGCAGCTGTGCCAAGAACAACTGAATACACAAAAAGCACGAATTGAAGAACTACAAAACATGGTTTCGAAGGTAAATATCCTTTTTCATCTTACTTACAAGCACCATATCACATACAATTATCTCTTTATTATTCTATCCAGGTGAAACAGGAGTATTCCCAATCCCTAAGCGAGTTAGAGAAGATCTCAGAAGAAATCCATAGAAGACGTGAAATGCGCAGAGGCCCAAGAGAACCAGGAGTAGGTGCTGAAAAATCATCACCAGTGGAAGAAAAGGCTAAAGAGAGCTTTTTGCAACAAATCAGCAGGGGCACAATTCAGCGCTATGATAACTATGAAACAACCTTCTCGCTTCCAGATGTTAATGCTGAATTGGACTGCTGTGATAAACGCAGTTTGAGCAGCTTATCTGTTGGCACCAGTAGCGAGAGAGATGAGGATGAGATGAGTGAAACATCAAATAAAATGATTCAGGTAATAAATAAATAGATAAATATTTGCATGAGAAGTTATATGTACACCTAAGTCTGTTTTTACATGGTCTTTTTGTACACGGTTTTGATATAACACGGTTTGAAAATTGAATATTTTTAATTTTTTTACACGATTTTATTTCATTTAACACGATTTGAAATTTTATGTACTTAAACTTTTTTTGTCAAATTTAATTTTTGCGAAGTATGTTCATATCACAAAAAAGTATTTATGAAAGACAAAAGTCTGAAACCATCGATAGTATCGATAGTTTGCAAACACTAGCTTAAAGATTTAAGTGAATTCCCCTTTAGCGCGTACAAACAATTTTTATTGGTCAAAGCAAATGTGAATAGCACTAATTTAGGGGAATACCCTAAAAATTCTTGTTTTCCACTAATTTTAATAGGTTTTAGAGATTAGGAACAAATCACCCATTTTTGTAAAAGATCAATGTCTTTTTTTACACGTTTTTTTTTACACGGCTTCTTCTGGAACCAAAACAGATTTAGGTGTATTGTAATATTTTTAAAAGAAATGATTACTAAATTTTATATGCAGTCAAGGGATGTAGAAGGCAGCAGCAGCTCAAACGATTGGAATGAATTAAATGTCACCATTCAAAAACTGAATGACATGACAACAACCATTAATACTTCAACTGAAATCAATAATTCTTAATCAAGTAAGTTCTTTTTGATTATATTAACAGTGGGTTTATAGATCTGTTGGAACAATATGCCATGCTAGGTATTAATATGCTAATAAGTATTATAGATTAATTTTAGTTAAGATTCATATTAAAAACTCATCCAAGTGATACAAAAATATCTTTATAAATTAATTTTTATTTGAAAAAGAATTTTTTGTTCGTTATAACACAAAACATATTTCCTTCTTACAAATTGTGATATTTCTTATGTTAAAAATATAAAGTCTGGTTTTATAGTACATATATAAATATGCCTGTTAATTAGGTCCATGTACAACATTATCTCATAAATTATTATTGTTGAAAATGCTTTTTTTTATTTATAATTTTAGTATATGAAAAATATTTAAAGATTTATATTTCCAGTTTAGATGTGCATAAAGCAAAATTTAAATGAAGTGAAACCAAATTTTTATTAGTAAACAAACTTATATTTTATGCCAATGAACTTAAATAATTATTCTATTTTAACATCACAGTTAATATACGCTGTATCTCACCATCAAAAATAACATTTCATAGAATTTTAATATAAAAGTATTTTTAAACAAATTTACAAACTAATTAGTCAAGGTGAGAACTGAAGATTATAATATATTAACAAAATAACTGCATCTTTTTTAAAGCCCAAGCTGCGTTTTGTTTGAAGCCCCTGCATTGAGTGAAACAGTTGTTAAAAGGGAATCTGTGACCATGGACAGCATACGAATTCTCTTAGTTGAGATATTATTGGGATTTTGTGAAACAAAATTTAATAATTGTTTCTTAAGAGCTTTTAAGACAATTGGTAAATGCTCTCTAATGCATGGATTATTTGTGTCCAGGTTCATCAAGGCTTCTTCTAAATACCTAAAGAACACAAAACAAAACGTGTTAGATTGAAGGTATAAAATATACAAAGTATATATTTTACTTGCATACCTATGTTTTAAATCTGAATGGTTCAGTAAATCTGCACTTAATTGCTGAATTAAGGATAGTAATACGTTCTGAGGTAAAGGGCATGGTGTTTGTTTAAATAACATTGTGGGATCTACTTTCTCACAAACATACACAACAAGAGATAAATCTGATGCCATTAAAGCATGCTGAAATGCACTGCTTATATCCTTCTGTCTAAGATATTCATTTATTTGTGTACGATATGAAGACATGTCCACATTTGGAAGTGCTGGAGTTACAGCATTCGATCTAACTGCAGATCTGAGATGATTTTCTAGTTCCTCAGATTGCTTGGAGAAGGCCATATTTATATGATCACTTATGTTCTTTATTAAATTGTCCTGCATGCTGTAATAAAACATCAATTAATTGTTTAGCAAATTGAAAACATTAACTGTAAATTTCTCATATTCTACACTTACATCTTCATTGTTTTGGAGACAGATTCATGAACATACTTATTTATGGTGTTTGTAGTCTCAGCATGGGCTTTAAGGCTTTCTGATAATTGGTCCATACGATAGATGACATCCTTTGATTTATCCAGTTGACGCCTATTTTTTTCCAAAGCCAGCTCAAAGTTATTGAGATCTACATAAGTTAAAGAATTACAGAAGCATTCTTAAGAAAATTGGAAAGTGAAATGACTTACATTCTTTTGTCCCTTGTGAAAATGTCTCATGTATTTGTTTAAACATTTGATTAGTTGCCCTTTCAAACGATGGTATCAGAAATGTATCCATTTGAGCTCTCAACGTATTATTTAAAACGCTTTGCGATGCCATAAGTAATGAGTTTGTGAGCAATTCAACAGTTTCCTTATTTTGTACTAATTTCATGATATTCTCATGCAGCAAGTGATCAGTTGCTGTAAGTTTCTTAGACATATCATGCTGCATCGCTTGTTTCAATTTATCTAAAGATGTAACAACAGTTGGTACAACGCTTCGCTGAATTTCTATTGTGCAGTTTGTAGAAAATTTATCTATCATTTGCTGGTTCAAAATTTGCATGAGAGTTTCAGAGACTGTACGATGAAGATCTGAAATCATTGATGATGTCCTGCAAGAGAAAGGAAATAACATATAAATAAAGTAACAAGTGAAAGTGATAAATAAACTTACATTTTTGTAATCAGAGAATCTAGAGAAGAAGCCTGCTGCATATGGGCTTTCATCATTGCTTGCTCCACAACTTTTTCTAAATTAATTTCCATGTTTCTACCAATATTACTATTCTCTGTACAAGTGTTATGTAAAACAGACTCTTTATCTCGTATCTTTTGTATCTCCAATTGCAAATTTTGTATTTGTTTTGTTTGTTGTGATAGAATCGCTGGAATAAATATCAATGTTTAATCTTATGTAATAATATTAAAAAATCCAGCATTAACTTACATAATACTTTGTCCAGGGAACTGGAAATGCTTTGATTATCATCCAATGTTTGATTTTTTGTACTTGTATATGTTGCAAATACATTTGAACTGCCGATGGAATTACTAGCACCACTGCAAGTAGATTCTGAAACCTGCATTGGCTCAACCACTGGTGGACACGGCCATCCTTTATCTGAATAAAATTCAGTAATATATTTTCGCAAATGAAATTTTTACTTTTGAATTATATTACCTTCTTTGCTAATATCTGTGTTACTTGTTGGCACAGGAACTGGAACTACAGTTTTCAACGTTTGTATTATAGCTTCATTAGAAGTTTCTTGGATATCTCCATTATCAATCAGATCAAAATCTAATAAATCAGATCTGGAATCTTTCAAGGATAAAATTTCTTGCACTTCTCGGCTAGGACTAGATCCACCACTGGCTAAATTGTCTCTAGTAGCTTTTTTTTCAAAAGCTGCAAAAGAAATTAAATAAATATAAAACTAATATAGTTGCATTACATAGAAAAGTATTAATTAATATAAATATATATATACATTCAGACGTTGCCAAAGGTGCTTCAACTTCTTCAAGCCTCTTTGCACCAAGGTACATTAGATCATCAAACAGCTTTTGATTCATTTTTGGACTGGAACTAACTCTCGCTTCCAGAACAGACCCATCAAATGCTTTTAATGAATTTTCATTGTTGATTTTATTTTCATCTGCAGAATCAACATTGATATTTTGTGCTGGTACTTCTTTTTTTAAATTATTAAAAGCATCAGGAGTCATCAAGTTTATATGAGAAGGAACGGTTTGTGATTGAACATTTTGCAAAGGTGTTGATTGTTGGACAGACAAATCATTAAAATCATTAGTAATATTTACTAAATCTTTCAATAATGTCTTACTGATGTCATCATTCGTTTTATTATTTTGGTCATCATGATTATTTACAGAAATCGATGATATATCTGCAAGATCTGGAAATGTACAAAAGAATTAATTGGCAAATTTGCAATTAAGCAGACAATATTGATATATTATTAAATGACTGACTATCAGTGAATGCATAATTATCTGTATTCATCATGTTTATAGTTGTACTGTAATTTATCTGCGGATGATAAATTATTCTGCATTCCTGTAAACTCTTGGGCTGTACGACATACAGTCTCACAAACACTCCTTTGTATGACTGAAATTGACCCAACGTGGAATTATTTACTGGCGATGCAGAGATTAAATCATCATCCATTCCTTCATCATCTAATTCATACATATCATCAGTGTTATTCATATACTTGTACTTTAACAACCCTGTAATTTAAATTTCAGTTTTATTAAAAATGACCCAAAAAACGTATGATAGATTGAAATATATTTTACCTGTTTCAACTACATCGAAGCTAAGAACACTACACGGTAACAAAAATTCAGACACACTTTTTATAAATGCTTGTGATTCATCTTCAGTTTTAATTATTTGCATAATGTACATTATACGGTTATAAATATCAGATAAAATCAAGTATTGTGCAGATTTGTCAAGACAAGCTTTTAATGTTAAATTTCCATTCAAGTGCTTCATGTTAGGATTCGGTTTAATTATAATGGTTTGCAAGCAAGACCATGATTGGCATGACCATAATTTCAATTCTGAGTTATTATTGCATCCCGTTATAGCAAACTTCCAATATTCAACCCTAAAAAAAGGTCAAATAAATATAAAACTTCTGAAATATAAGTAATATATGGTTTTTATCTAAAATCGAAAATTGTGATGCTTTTAAATAATCAACGGTAATTTTAATTTGGCTTTAAAAGTGCAGAATATGAAATGTGCTTACGTAGGATTATGATTCTGATGATTATCTAAGAAGAAAATGGATGAAACAGGTTTTCCGTCATGTGGTTTCCACTGGTGAAGACAACGTGTATTGGTGGTTTTTTCCACATGCATATATACTTGAAAAAACTTGACTTCACCAGAACCAGATGTTGTGGCTATTAGAGTTCCATCCGGTGCAAACATTGCATCCGTTATTGGTTTAGTATGCTCATCGAGCAACTCTAAAATTCCTTCTATAATGTCATGGCCCTTTGCTAATGGATCGGGGCCATAAGTCTCAATCACAGTATTTACTGATATCACAACAGCTGAAATGGTTTCAATAGTGAAAAAAGACTGCATACATTAAAACAAAATAATGAAATTTACAGACCATCACATCCATGTGTTACTACAAGTAATTTAGCAGTATCCTCATCTACTTCACCGGCAGAATCAGGTTCTGGGATATATGGGCACCAGATAACTCTATGTGTCATAGGCGAAGGTGATTTATATGGAATATGCAGCTTAAGCACACAACTGAAGTAAAAGAAAATGATAGTAGTATTTTGATTTGACAAAAATAAACAAAATTATTGAAGTGTTGAAATATTGAACTCTGGAAACAATGTACCTAACATCAGGAGTTTCAATACTATGAACAAACAAATTTCCTTCCTCATCAACACTAGCTAAAATAATTTCTTCTTCTATGTGAGCAAAAGCTAAATCTTGAGGTTGCCCTGCATATCCTTTTATTATACCTCTTATGGGGCAATTATCTCTTATAACACGAACCATTCCACCAGATTTCGCTGTATAGTAATAAAGATTGAAATTGATACAATAAGTTTTCCATAAAGCATCAAGTATGTGTGTGATTATTACAAAACCTTTAATTCCATAAGCAATATGCTTTCCGAGCATATGAACAGCTACTACATGGCCCAAATACAATTTATGCTCCCAGTTAAAGTCTACAGTATTTTTCAAAGTAACTTTAGAACAGCCAAGTTCATGTTTTCCTGAACTACTTATTATTTCTACATCATCTGATGTAATTTCATAGAAGTGGTTCTCTTCAGTTCCATCAAAATTTCTGTGAAAGTAGTAATGTATTTGTAAAATCTACTTCACTATATAACAATTAGGTTAGAAAATATTTCCATAGTTTTATGGATCATAAATTGATTAAAAGCAGAAATTTTATTAGATCAGCAGAAAATTTAATGAAATATCACTTACATAGTTTGTGTCTCAGCCATATCTGGTAAATAATGAGAATGTCTAAAGAGAAAAAAAATTTTCAGTTTTAAAGTATATCACTTATTATCGTTATATGCCACAATTATGCGCACGTACCTCTAATGTTTTTTTGTTTACGTTTATTAAATAAACTCTAACTTGATGAATACACGTCAAACATTTAAAACGACAAGAAAAATACAAAACAATGCAAAATTGCAACTGTAACTCCCCGTCTTTCTTCCTAACCAAGAAATATCTTTTTGGTTACTGACACTGATATGCAAACTAAAAAGGCGGCAATTTTAAATAAGCAAAAGAAATATAAATAATAATTAATTTAAGCAGTGAAGAATAATAAATAGAACAGAAGTAATAATAAGAATGAGAGTAATAATAAAAAGGACGATAGATAATAAGTACAGATTATAGAAATGCTACCCGCAGGCTTTTATAAAGAAAAATTTGATTTTCCAATGCAATGATACAATTTTGATTTATTACATTAATTGCTTTATTTACCTGCATTTTGCTATTTGAACAAATATTAGAATATAATATATTTATGGAAGTAAGAAAATACAAAATAAAACTAAATATTTGTTATAGAATAGATAAGTTATTATTATTCATTCAAATTTTTGAGTACTCCTCAAAATATTAAAGGAGGAAGTCTTTATTTACTTTGCTCATATGTGGCTCATAGTTATGTTTGTATTTTCTTTGATTTGTTAATCATCGTTAATCATTATCAATATTGAAGGTTACAAGTGTCACTTTGGTTGTGATCAGTAGTTGATATTGACAATTGACTAGACCCCCAAGCTTCAGAATTACATAACTTATCCTTTTAATTAAATAAAAATTATGAACTTTGTTGGTAAAGTAGTCCTGGTTACCGGAGCAAGTTCCGGAATTGGAGCAGCAACTGCTGTCCAACTAGCAAAATTAGGAGCAAGTTTAGCTTTAACTGGACGAAATGTTGAAAATTTACAAAAAACAGCAAATGAATGTAACAAATCACCCAATGTATTCACTGTACCTGGTAATTTAACATCTGAAAATGATATCAAGAAAATTTATACAGAGGTTATGAACAAATTTGGAAAACTGGATGTACTCATCAACAATGCGGGGATTTTGGAAAATGGAACTATTGAAACCACAAACTTAGAACAATATGATAGGCTCATGAATACCAATGTTCGGTCCATATATTATCTAACAATGTTATCAGTACAAGAATTAATTAAAACGAAAGGTACCAATTCCATTTTCACACTTGTAAATAACAAATACTTTATCCGCAATGCTTTTAGGTAATATTGTAAATGTATCCAGTGTAAATGGAATAAGAGCCTTTCCCAATGTTCTGGCTTATAACATGTCTAAAGCAGCAGTAGATCATTTCACACGATGTGCTGCTTTAGAATTGGCTGCCAAAGGAGTTAGAGTAAATGCCGTAAACCCAGGAGTAACAGTAAGATATAAATAATACCTATATAAACATCCTATACATATATCATAAATCAAAGTTATCATTTACTACTATAGATTACTAATTTACATCGTTCTGGTGGAATGGATGAAACAACTTATCAAAAATTTCTGGAACACAGTCGTACAACCCATGCAATGGGTAAACCAGGAGAAGCAATCGATGTTGCTGAAGCCATAATATATTTAGCTAGCGATGCTGCTAAACATGTAACGGGAGTTACATTACCTGTAGATGGTGGAAGACATGCCATGTGCCCTCGTTAATTAAATTTTGATAATTTTCATAGATCTGATTTGATAATTTTCATAATTCAACATTGATCTGATTTTGAATAATTTTATACTGTGCCTTACTGTGCGAAGATTGTTATGTAAATTTGTAAATTTGTAAATATTATAAAATATGTAAATATGAACTATTAATTTGTACATTTGTCTTTGTCAATACAGAATATATTTGTATAACTAATATTTTTGTGAGTTTGTGTTTAATTTTATCTTTAAGCTGCCTATAACTTTTTTTTCATTATGCAATTATTATAATTCTATATTTTTCCCTTTGTGTAATTCTTCATAATTATTTTAAGACTGCTGAATGAGGGCACACATTAAGTGCCAAAACGTAAATGAAGAAATTATATAAATAATAACATTTTTGTTAGTTTGCATTTAATTTTATCCTTGAACCTATAATTTTTTGTTGCCTTGTGGAATGATGTATTATAATTCTATATTTTTTCCTATTGTATAATTCTTCATAATTATTTTAAGACTGCTGAATGATGACACACATTAAGTGCCAAAACGTAATTAAAGATCTGGTTGTTTGTTTACTGGGTGAACAATATTAACAATTCTTTATTTACGTTTTGGCACTTGATATGTGTCATCATTCAGCAGTTTTAAAATAATTATAAAGAATTATGCAATAAATAGGAAGAAATATTGAAATATCATAATTATTACATTAATGCAAGACAAAACTATAGGCTTAATGATAAAATTAAACGCAAACTAACCAAAATAATTCGAATTATAGAAATAATAATATTTTGGTTAGTTTGCATTTAATTTTATCATTAGACAGCCTATAATTTTGTCTTCCCTTAATGTAATTATTATAATATTTCAATATTTCTTCCTATTTATTGCATAATTCTTTGTAATTATTTAAAAACTGCTGAATGATGACACATATCAAGTGCCAAAACGTAAATAAAGAATTGTTAATATTTTTCACTCGATGATTTGGTTACAATAAATAATATATGTTTTAGCGTCAAGAAAACTATCAAGATATAATTATATTTATTTAAATTCATATATTTAAATAGTAATTATTCTACTGGACAAAAGTTCCTGGTACGCTCGTATCCTTACAAATCCAGAGCTGTCAAATTGAATTATTCCCATATGCAACAGATAATAACCTCAAATATGTTGTTTATGTTTATCACTTTTGAAATTCTATGCAATGACAACGAATTAAGATTAAATCAAATCGTAATTTAAATGATACTGATTGTAAATGCGTCACAGTGGCGTGAGTCAATGCTGGAGGTCATTTATTGTGTTTACTTCAGAGATTAATGTACCATAAAATAGGTGGTAAAAAATATAATATATTCAAATAATGAAGAACAAACTATTTTATATATTTTCAATACTCGTAATTGTGCACGTTAGTAATATCTCTGGCTACCAGTCTCCTGTTATATTTGGTAAGTTTCTGAGGTTTTGTACCAAAAGTGCACAATTTGATATTTTTGTCTTACAAAAGGTTTTATGCATTACAGAGGTTTAAACAGATTTTTATATATCCACATAGATGTGGTTAGACTATGAGTTTATGTATCATATCCTATTCTAACATTCTTATTAATAAAGCATTTATTTTAATTCATTTTTTACATATATATATATATATATATATATATATATATATATATATATCGGTATGTTTAGCCTTGAATAGTACACACAACACTTTCTGATGTTAACTTAAATATAGGAGGGCAATATTTGCTCCTCCTATAACTCGTTTGTTAATAATAGTTTTTTATTATTTTACACAAAGTTAGTGTTTATATCAATTTTCACATCATAATTAATGTTTTTTTGTTTTTCCTGGTTTGATTACTGAATGATGACACACATCAAGTGTCGAAACGTATAATGGAATAAATAATTTTGTTATTTAATCTTTTTTAATTCGACTGTTGGGCTGCTGAAAAATTTACAAATATATATATATATATATATATATATATATATATATATATTGTATGGGTATATGGATGATTCACAATATTTTTTGCAACATCAATAACATGTAATTAAATTATTTTTTTAGTTCCTGGAGATGGAGGCTCCCAAATAGATGCTAAACTCAACAAACAAAGCGCAGTTCATGTGTTTTGCCAGAAAACTACATCTGATTTCTTCAATATTTGGCTAAATCTTGAATTACTCGTACCTCTTGTAATCGATTGCTGGATTGATAATGTAAAATTATATTATAATAACGAAACACGTAAAACCGAAAATACTCCTGGTGTTGAAACAAGGATTCCAGGATGGGGTGAGAAATGGATAATAAATCTTACTAATCTACTTAATAGTAATTTAATTAAAATGTTAATTTTATCAGGATCTCCAGAGCCTGTAGAATGGTTAGATCCGTCCAAAGCATCATCTGGTGCTTATTTTAAGGATATTGGTAATGCGTTAGTTGCAGACGGTTACCAGAGAAATGTTAGTTTGAGAGGCGCACCTTATGATTTTAGAAAGGCTCCTAGTGAGTATTAAAAGTTTATCATATTACTCATAATACCTCGAAAAATTAATTATTACTATTTTATTATTTAGATGAGAATGAACAATGGTTTGTGGATTTTAAAGAACTCATAGAAGAGACATATTCTATGAACAATGGCACTCCTGTTACAATCGTGGCACACAGTATGGGTGGTCCCATGACCTTAGTATTTTTGCAAAGACAGATATCAGAATGGAAAAATCAACATATAAAACGCTTTATTACCTTAGCTGGGGCTTGGGCTGGATCTGTAAAGGCTGTTAAAGTTTTTGCTATGGGTACATTGAACTAATATTTATACCTTCATATTTTTAAGTACCAGTTGGTTATATTCACAATATTTATTTCAGGTGATGATCTAGGTTCTTACGTTTTGCGCAACAGTATTTTACGTGAAGAACAAATATCTTGCCCATCACTATCTTGGCTTTTACCTTCACCGTTGTTCTGGAAACCGAATGAAGTGATGGCTACTACTAAATCTCGCAACTATACATTGGCACAATTATCTGAATTTTTCGAGTAAGATGAATTATAAAACATATTTCCATTAATAACATATTTTATTTGTCTTTATTTTCATTCTTCTTTTCAGTGATTTAGAATATCCACAAGGTTGGGAAATGCGAAAAGATAACATCCAATACTCCTTGAACTTCTCTCCTCCTGATGTAGAGACTCACTGCATTTATGGCTCTGGAATCCCTACAGTGGAAAGGTAACATTCAATTAAACTATTGATTCTTTATTGATCTCAACGATCGATATTTCTCTAGACTGATGTACAAAAAAGAAATACTTGATGGACTTCCGACATTGATAAACGGTGATGGTGACGGTACTGTTAATATAAGATCTCTATCTGCTTGTTCTGTTTGGAAAACTATGCAAGACAAACCTGTTGTCCCAATCGAAATAGCGGGCGTTGATCATATGACTGTTCTTAAGCATCCTGATATTTTAAACTATATTCACAAAATACTAAAAGCTGATGAAAATGAAATTCTTTAATTTAGATATATAATAGATAATTGATATGTTTTAGTTTTAACTTAATTAAATGCGAGAACTTTGCATGACTGAACAAAGCCATAAATATATGTATTGAACAAAATCTGTAAGTCAGATGAATACAAAATACTCTTAGAGGAAATTATAGATTTAATAGGTTTTAGTTAAGAACAGTTAAGATAAATATTTGTTAAATCCTACAAAAATTTTATGGAATTTAATGGAAAAAGGGTTGTTGAGGAGACTAACAATAACAGAACATTTACTAGATTAAATAATATTACTTCTTATGATATTATTTATTAACAAGGAAATTTTAGTTTGAAGATTTTGTTTGAATAAAAGTTATTTCATATGCAGGTTTTAAGTATCAATTTAATTTATTTAATATTTTAGAGCACAAGTTCCTATAAATGATATTTTGAAAATGTTTGTGAGATTTGTGGGTATATTGTATAAGATTTGTGATAATCTTCTTGATATTAAATTAAAGGTCACACAAATGTATGTGGCTATCTATATGTATTTACTTTATTTATGTAAATAAATATTTCTTTCCATACTTTTTCGTTTCTTTGTGGGCGAATGTGATTGTTTCTATTTTTTTGAAAGATTTTACATTTATCAACTTTACTAATGCTAAGATTTCTTAATTCTTTGGGATATTTTTGACTCTATAAATTCCTATTCTTCTCTAACTTGGGTTCTCTAACTTCAAATATGCTGAAATTATTTTTTATATTCTTAAAACCATTTCAATATTTTTGACAAATATTTATTTTTAACATATTGAATATACAGCCAACTGTATTCATAATTTTGGTACACATATAATTATGCATTAATACTTACATTATTATTATTATTTTTTATATATGCATTGATATAAATATAATTTTATATATATATGTCTATATTTTAACATATAAATTATAATAATAAGTACAAAAATTATCTTAAAACTAATCACAGCCTATTCATGTAATTAACAGAAAATGAATTTAGTAATTATTGAACTATTTTGAAAACAGACTTTTAAATAATGATTTTGCTTTACATATTTCTTAATTTAACATGATAATTGATATTGTTTATTTAAGTTTGAATATTTGGTACAGATTTTAAATTAAATATATATATATATATATATATATATATAGGTATATATATATATATATATATATATATATAAACTTTCTGTAATGCATAACTCGTTCCTAACCAGATTTATCTATATTGATATTAAAAATCTAAAGTTGCTCATGTTTCATATTATATTCAAATACAGAAAATCGTTCGACAAAATTTCTTAAATAGATATTTCTGGGATAAGATTATTTAATTTTTTATTTTTTTATAAATGTATTTTGCAATTATGCATAAAATTGATTCATTAGATCAATGCATATGATGAGGATTAAATTATAATTTTCGTCTTCGGTATTTTTTGTGACTATTTTTTTTTTAAATGAACAGAATTATTTTCTTTATATAATCGAGCCATACAAGTGTCACAGTATCTGGTTTTCAAAAGATAGATTGCTTCGAGCTGTTGTACTATTTTTGTCATTGATCTTAAAATACATGTAAAACAAGTCACATCGTTAGTTTTTCTGCGGTATAATAAATTTAACCGATTGATAAATTTTTAGTATATGTAAAACATAGAGAAATATAAAGTATTTAAATTCATATTAAAATTAAAAACATATATTGAAAAATCTCATAACAATTACAAATTGGAATCTTATTGGAGACCAATATCTACGCGATTTTTATTCAGGATTCTCATTGGATTTCAGTTTCTGGTTTATTTAGTTTTTTTTTTTGATTTTTTTTTAAATATATAAAATGTGTAGCATTTGCTTTGTTCACGACTTGTTAATTCATTTTATGTTCTGAGCCAAAATATCTACCAGGAATAAAATTATACACCAGACGAACCATTTGCGTCATTTAGCGAGAGAAATACAGTTTGGGAAGTTTCTCCATGTGAAATATTTGCACAATTTAATATTATTAACAAAAATGTATAATATTTTTGTACGATGGTGGGCAATTCTTGATTAAAATAAATTGTTTTTTGAAGTAAAACTAAGGCCTGCCATATGCTCAAATAAAAATCTGAATTGAAATTCTGTGAAAAACATCCATTGACCGAAAATGATAGGAGGGTGAAAATTTAGTGTTGTATGTATATTTAAATTTTGCATTAAAAAAATAAAAGAAAAAAAAATTAGTCCCGAAATTTAAAAAAAATTTTAGGGATGGAGAACCCTTAATTAAAAATGAGTTGATTGAAGCTAGATTTAAACTTTTCCACAAGTTAAAAATTATTTTAATAAAAGTCGGAAATATAGGGGTTTGTGATAAAAGTTAGATAATTTAAAGTCGTGTGTATATTTAAATTTTGTATTAAATAAATAAAACGAAGAAAATTTATCTCAAAATTAAAAAAAATGTGTTAGGGATGGACAACCCTTAATTAAAATAAGTTTTGAAGTTTAATTTAAGCTTTTTCGTAAGTTTAAAAAAATCTTAATCGAAATTTAGTGAAAAATATTCACCGGGGCAAAAGATGACTCCACTACGAAATAAGAGTTTGTGGTAGAAGGGTTCAAATTTAGGGTTGAATGTGTTATTCGATTTCGAATTGTGAAAAAATGAAATTAAAAAAAATGGTTCAAAAATTTAATCAACCGCTGAAAGTTTTTCCAGAGACATTGGTCTATGGTCCAATTATTTTCTATAACGATTTTCTGTTTAAGACCAATTTTAGCCGATTTATTTTTAAAGTACGTTTTATAAATAATATTTAATATTAATCCGTTAATATTAAAAATATTTATAAATAATACATCTCAATCAAAATTATTTCATGGAGCAATTGAGATTTATAATAGGCTTTCTTTGTTAGGAACGATACATTTTCAGCAAGTAATAATTTCAATTCCTACATAATTATTTAGACTATTTTCCACTTATAAAATTATGATCACTTAAAAATATATAATTATTTAATCTTATTTAATAAATTATACTTTATTTACTTAATATAAGTAAATAAGTATTTCTTAGCATTGCATGTCTAAATGTTTACGTTGAAATTGATCACATAATTTATAAAAAATATATATCAACATCATTCGACTAATTATTTTTTATTAAATATTTTTGACTAGTTGGTTAGTTTAATTTGTGCTATAAATCACTATATATTTGTTTCATTCTTTGTCATTTTTTTGGCAGGAAAAGTTTCACCGATGCGTAGTAAAATGTACCATGTCAATGAATGAATAATGAAAGTTATACTCATATAACATTTCAAAATTCAGGTCACGTCGGCGAATAATTCTTCCTGCCAATGTTTTGGTAAATCTTTTAAATACGCGAGTAGAAATTGATAGCCACTCGATATATATAAATATCGCAGCCAAGGATTTTTGTCTGTTCGATTTTTGTTTTGGAATCAAGAACGCCAAATTTTATCGAAAGATCAATTTCAATATTCGAACACTTGAAACATGGAACAATGCTTGTACATATATTGACTTAATTATTCTCACGCATTTATACGGCTTTAAAAGCCATATAGGACTCTTCGACGATTATATTGTGAGATTTGAAACTAGCTGTATAACATTCTGCAAGGCAACATGTCCATATGAAAATACTTTTATTTTTTTATAAATTCCTAATTGTTTTACAGAACTAGGTTCAAATAACCCACAATATCAAACTTAACATTACTTATTAACGTTCATGTAAGAAACACATTTTGAATTGTTGAAAAACAAGCACTTTCAGAAATCTAACAATAATAGATTAATCAGAATTACTTAATCCAGGCCAATATTTGCTGTTATTAAGTTAGATATTTGAAAATACTTAGATGATAAAATTTATGTGTATATGTTTAAAAACATACATTACGCTGATTAAAAAAATTGTAAATACTCATTTTATATTTTTTAATCTGCTGAGATTATCAGGCAGAAACCGGACATTAAATATTTTTAGCACCACCAATAATTACTCATTGAATAAAAATATGTTCTTATTAAATTTTACAGCCTTGTGTGCAAATTTTGTAGTTTTTAACCAGCTAGGCAAAATTTTGTGTATTGACGAGTATATTCGTTATGCTTATAAAACAGTCAGTAATTATTTGCTATTTAAATTGAAATTTTTGAAACAAAATTTTTAATTTAAAAAATATTTTGAGGCTATGACTGTATAAAAAGGCGGCATTTCATCTTAAGGCAAGTTGCCTGAATTTATAAAAATGTGAAAATTATATGCTTATTGAATAAAAATTAAGATTTATTTATTTAAATGACATTTTTAACTTCCTATAGGTTATGTTGTAGTATTCGCAAAAAAAAGAAAAAAATACAATTTTTGCATATCTTTACGTTTCAAAGTCTGCTGAACATTTTGGCATACTTAAGGAATAATTGATGTATGTAAATTTGTGTGCGTAACAAATAAGTGTAATATTTGTTTTTATTTCTATGAGTTCCGTACTATAATATTTAAATTTCACATAGACTGTTCTCGACATTTTCGATACTATGGACTTCAACTGACTTGAATGGGTTTCAAAATTTTCAAGAAATTTCAAAATATTCGAACAATTTCAAATATTTCAAAAAAATTCAAAATTTTCCAGTATATCAATTTTTTTCAAAATATTCAATTTTTTTAGAGCTATCTTAAATTGTGATACAAAAATTGTTAGCAACTTGTCTTAGAGAACAATGCCATGTACGACCAGTCTACTTTTTATTTTGACTTGAATGGGTTTCAGAATTTTCTAAAAAAAATACAGAAAATTCAAACAATTTCAAATATTTCAAAAAAATTCTGAATTTTCCAAAATATCAAATTTTTTCAAAATTTTCAAATTTTTTTAAAGCTCTTGAAAATCTTAAATTGCGATACGGAAAGTTTCAGCAACTTGTCTTAAGGCAATTGCCATGCACTAGTAGCCTACTTTTTATTTTCTCACTTTCTTATATTAATTTTCTGACTATTGTTACTTTCTTATATTAGGTTGTCAAATATCTCCCTTCCGCTTTTTTGTTCTTGGTTTATAATACAAAAAGGCGAAAGGGAGATATTTGACAACCTATTATTTGCATGTAAAATATTTCATTAAATCCGCTTTTAGTTTAATACATACGCGATAATGCTTATGTCAATGAAAAAGTAAAATGTAGAAGTAACTAGTAAACAATTTTTCAATTTCATACGAATATACACGTCATGATCTCAATTTGGGCGACACTGGTTAACTGGCTAAACCGTATATTAATAATAAATTATTTCCCGCACAAGGCTCTAGAAGTTAAATTATTTCTAACAACGATCAATATATACGACCATAAAAGTAATGAGCAATTTTCTTATTTCCAGGAATCAACTGCTGTAATTTTGAAACTACAATAGTATGATGTACCTACTGAAACTTGCAGCAAATGACGAATTGCACTAATGCGAAACAATTCTGATTCTTCTGCAAACTGAAACAGAAACAGTCCTATCCGGTTGCCTGAGAGTCCGCCGGTCATAGAGAGGCGGCCGCCGTGAAATTCTGCCTGCGTTTGAGAACTCTCGACTTGTGCAACTCGGCCTTGCTGCAGGGCACTACGGTGCCGCCCGAGGGCACCGGGTTCCTGAGTCCATTACAAGGCTGGAGCAAACCGCCGTTGCTCAGAGCCTGCTGCAAACCGTTGACGTGCTGCTGGTTTCCGTTGTTTTGTTGCTGTTTTATGGCGTTGGTTGCCCCGATTAGGGTGCCTAGCATTTTCGAAACGGAAAATTTTCGCGGTTTCGTCGGCCGTCCGCGCGATTCGAGAAGGACGCGCTCGAAGGCGCGGTAGAGCGCGGGTGAATTGTCGGCGACAGACACTTCGCAGAATGGGACCCCGTGCTGCGCTGCCAAGGTTGAGCCTTCGTTCTCGGATACCTGTAAGTGAAAAAATTTATATGTATTAGAGTTATGAATATAGATTCAATGAAATCAAAAATATATAATGAAACTATTTTTAACGCAATAATCAAATCAACTGATTGGTCGAATCAGGGAATTAAGATTGCAGCATCGTTCAAACTATCAGAAATATATCATTGATTTTATTGGACACTTATATATATATATATATATATATATATATATACATTTTTTGTAGAGCTTCCAATCCAAAAAATATTAAAAAACAAAAAAGTTTTAAAAAAACATATCTCTATTTATTTACTATCGACGTTTCGGAACTAGGTACGTTCCATCTTCAAGAAACATGATCTTGATAAGATTTAAGCAAACAATATGTTTAAGAAAGACGGAAGATGGTGGTTTTTTATATAAAATGAATAAATTTGTGGAAAATGTACAGAAATGTGTCAATATAATCAAAATGAAAATCATAAAAATAAATGGGTGGATTATATAACAAAATATTAGAATCAAATTTTATTATTTTTATTTAATGATATTTCTGTACATTATTTTTTCCACAATTTTATTCATTTTATAAAAAAAATCTACTATCTTCTGCTTTTCTTAAAACATATTGTTTGCTTAAATCTTATGACAATCATGTTGCTTGAAGATGGAATGTACCTAGTTTCGAAACGTCGACAGTAAATAAATAAAGAATTTTTATTGAAAAAACTTTTTTGTTTTTTGTTACTTTTTAGATTCTTTTAATCCAAATAATTTCAATATTTTTCTTATTACTGATTGATTTCGATTGTTTTTATATAACGTCCGATTGTGATTTGCGATTTTCATGATGATATTTATATGTTTATATACTAGGTGACCCGGCTTGTGGTATTGACCGTAACTGTCTTGATAAAAATTAGAAAATGATTCTCATGTTGTTTAGAAATTATGAGCTTTTAAGTGCAACCTAGAGCTTTGGTAAAATTGTGAACATTTTTCAGTTATTGTGGTTAATTTTTATTAATTTTTGTTCATTTAAACTTTGGGCGCGTAATCGTAAATAACATTTCTAGGACCACTGTTAGAAATAATGACACTATTTCTATTGGATTTTAAATATTTAGACGTTTTGTTGAACTATAATTTGAATTTTTTTAAAATCGATCGACTTTGAGAAGCCCTGTACTAATGTATGTTGGCAAGTTTCCTCAAAAGTTGCCGCATTTAATCAGGATTATAAAATAATAAAAAAATTGATAGTTTCATAATGAAATTTTTCGAAAATGACATGATTTTTGGTCACAATGAATAAAATAGTAATAATTTCATCAAAGCTCTAGGTTGCCCTTAAAAGCTCATAATTTCCAAACAACGTGAGATATTTGTTTTCTATTTTTTTGAGGCCAGTTAGAGTTGTCAGTTGAGTTCTGGGATACCCTGTATATATATATATATATTTATATACATATATATATATATATATATATATATATATATATATATTATATTATATATTTTCATATATTCATTAAATTTCTTGTATCGATGCACAACGATTTCAAAATTCATATAAGAAATATAAAACCATAAAAATTCTACATACACACTATCATATATATTTTTAATTATATATTTGCGTATGAACTTTTAGCAATATCGTATTTAGGTTTAATTAAAAATAGTCGATATGAGCATTTTATATTCCTAATTTTTATCATAAAGCCATTTTTATTGTTATGCAGCAATGCTCCCGAAAGGCAAATTTTACGGGTGTTTCTATAAAGTCATAAAATTGTATTTAGCTTTTCATTATCAATGTTTAAAATTGAAATCAATTTATAGAATCAACATACTATAGACGATGTTTTCTCACTCTTTACTAAGAAATTCCAATTTAATTCCTAACTCCATTCTCTCTTTATTATGAAATTCCATTTTCCTAACTCTAATGCAATATGGATTTGAGAAAACAAGAGTCGATATCTATTATGACAAAGTATTGTGTTTCATAATATTGAATCATCGCAGTGCATACGAAAATATTTACTCAATTTGTGAATTCGGTAACCATTAGCATTATCAAATTCTGTTAAACTTGACATAACCCCGTTAAGTTCAATGTCTGAGATTGTAAATAACCAGGAATTGATTTTATATGACGACACAGATGAAAAATATTTTTATAAAATTACTGATTTTATAAGTAGAAATGACGTCCAGGAGTTTATTATTTTTTTCCACTTTATGAGACAATGTACTCATTCTTCAAAAAATATTTTCTGCTCGGTCAGTTATTTCAAAATTTGATATACACCTCTGGCATTCTTCAGGTCCGATTCTAATTTTAAAACTGGTAATAAACATAAATCGTTGCTAATGAATCATTTTTGCAAAATTAAAATAGTTACTTCGTAAAAAATATAAAGAATTGACCGAGTTATGAACTGAAAATAATAACTCTAGACTTCTTCAGACCTAGTTTTATTACGAGATCATCAATCAATCAGTGAAAGAAGTCTACAGACGAACACCTGTATCGTTTCACAAATTCCTTTGGATTTCTAGGCAAAGAATTTGTGTAAAATAATATTGTTTTCTTCATGCGAGTGTTGGTTTTCCAGTTTTTTTTTACATTTTTGAATGTTTGCAACTGCTTTAGAATCGGATGACACGTTTTGATTTGTCTAAACGTAAAACTCTACAAAGTGTCAGGTTCTTATTAAATCTTTGAGCTTTGAAATTTAGGCCATGAACGATTGAAGATCGTTGTTTCAAGTGGTAATTACGAGTTTAGAATAACCGATATACATATTGTCAGACACAAACAAACACTTATACTCATATATATATGCAAAATTTGTTATTAATTTGAATAGAACTCTGAGCATTTTTTTAAATAATAAGATCTATTGTTGAATTTTACCATTCGTTAGCATGTACGAGTACCCTTGAAAATTGCACCAGACAGTATGAAATTTCACTAAACAACATTATATAAAACTACAAGCTTTAATTTTCAATTACAAAACCATCAATTTTTCCCATAGTCTGAATAAAAATAGACCGCCTATGTAACCGAAACTAAAATCTTTCAAGAACGTTCATCATCTAATTAAGCCATGCATCTAATTCTCTTCGCAATTAAAAATTTTAAAGGACTTGAAACATGATATTTCTTTAACACAGTTTTTTTTGTCTGAATCTCCTTCAATATTTGTCCTTGATTTCGAAAACTAGGTCGATCAAAAGCACATTAACTAACTTGAGGGCGAATATTAATTAGATAGACTCTAATTGCAATCAGTGACATTTGCTTCTCATATTTCTTGGAAGAGAAATCTGTCGGAGACGGATAGAGGAGACAGGGGTAAAGTAGAATAAATTGTTTAAATTATAATTATAATCATATAGTAATATATAAGCAATATTTCATATATAAGCATAATACTGAAGGTCTTAAATAAAATTTAAATTTTTACCCTCTTATCAGAAACCTCTATTTCGTAATATTAAACCTTTCCACTCAGATGCCGCCTCCTTGGCGACAAAATAATACAAATTTTGAAAAGCCCGAGTAGAAAGGGTTAATTTTAGAATTCGAATTTTTTTCACCCCAAATTAAAAATAGAATATAATTAATATTAAATAAATATTTTTACATATTTGGTTCAATTAAAAATGCAAATTATAAATTTTTAAACGCAATATTTTTGCAAGTACTAGAGAGACTTCATAGAATTCATATTTCTATTCTTACCCCGGTCTCCCCTAAGCGATCCCGATTAGTTTGAAATGAGAACTTAGCGGTGAGACACAACGGTTTTTAGGCCTCGGCCTATTTTTTTATTAGGCACCTAACATAAAACAGATCCGCCAGTCTATAATACTATTACTGAAGTTTTGTAAATAATCAAAACAAAATCGCCTCGACCAAGATTTGTGATCATAGGCAATTTGTAAGTAAATCATAATATTACACTATCATACTTTATTTGTTACATTTCCATATTTTTGATTAAGTGTAATATAATTATTAGATGATTTTTAACAATAAAATTTTGCTAAAGAAAATTGCAGCAAAAATAAATATTTTCAACAAGAGAATTATGAAGAAAAATTTATTGAATTATATAAAAGTATCAAAATGTTTTGAAACGATTTTTTTACTACTCTATTGGTATTTAAATGAGTTCATAGAGATTTATATTATTTTTTAATATAATCCATTTTATAACAATGACGCGTAAGCTAAATGATTTCCATCCGTATGTAATAGGGTGCAATGTTTGTTAGAAAAATCAAGTTACGTTTTACATTTGGGAATAATTTTTTAAATATTTGTTATAATTTTCTGTAACAAAAAACTCAGAAATCTCATATACCATGTACTTGACACAATAGAATATAAACGACAGTTCAACTCGTTAAATTGCCTCTGAGCTGCCAGGCTAAATTTGACCGCGGTGAGCCAAATGTATATATATATATATATATATATATATATATTCGTATATATATAAATGTTAATGTCGACATTAAACGACGATTCCTGACAACAGACCATTTTCATGGCAAAATAAGAGAAGAGAACACAGACCTGTTTGTACGATTAAAACAATACAACGTTCCGCAACTTGTATCATCCCATTTTATACGGGCTTCTGTAATCGTTCTGGATACATATAACAAAAGTAATTACTTTTTTTTATAAAAATACTAACCTCAATAATATAAATATATTTGTTTCACTCGTTAATCGCCACGAGCAGAAAAATTTCCACATCAGCCATGGAAAATTTATTAGATAATTAGATGTAACTAGAAAACCCATATATGTCTGACATGGCTCTACTAAAACTTTTTTTTTGGATGCCAAGAAATTTTCAGGTTTTGTTCCTGATAAAACAAGCTTTGCAAAAAAAATCAGGCTTTATTCCTGATAGACCAAATATACTGCAATTGACTTGGATTTTTTACCAAAACGTGTATATATGTCTGACATTGCTCATGTAGATTTTTTT